GCGCGAATTCGCGGTTACAAGCGCGGACCCGCAAATGTCATACGGCATTCTCAACGTAAAAAGCCGCGGCGCACGTAGGTCGGTACGTATACGTGCATACGCATTGGGTTCGAGCCGTTTGATTTATTTCGCACAGAAATCGAAATCCTATATGAAATAATACGACGAAATACATATGTATATGTATATATATATATATATATACGTGTGTATAGTGATATTGATAATAACAATAATTACAATCTATTTGTTAAATCCGATCGCCGGCGTGAAATGAAAAAAAAAAAAAAAAAAAAACAAAAAACATTCTGATATGTTTTATACGAGCGGATTGATTTATTGCGATTTCCCCGAGGTCATTTCTAATGATACGAGACTGCCGCGCGTTATGCGTTCTACACGGCCGAAATAAATAATAATAATATTCTTGTGCAACGCCGTGCACAAGTTCAGTGCAGCGCTTTTCGACACGCGCGCGTCGATAAAAACGCGATTACAATAAAGTCGCCCCTCTATACGACACCGTCGTGTACAATATACCGGCTCTCGCGAGAAGACACTTTTAAACTGTGTTTAACCGACGAAACGTACACATGTGTGTTTCAAACGCGTTTCGAGTGAATAATTGGATTTCAAAAACGATGGCATGAGCAGCAGAGCCCCACAGCTCGGGTCATATTGCTGACTTGTCGCCGTTACAATTTTTACATTCTACGAATGCGGCGGAGAATTTATTGGTTTTGCCATAGAAGTGCATTATTTTACAATTCTGAATGGAGCCAAGAGGCGTATTGTTTTACCTTTTCTACCGGCAGTTTCGCTCCGAAACACAACGATAGCGCTTTTTCTGAAAGGAAATCTGACTCGAAAAGGTCATTTTTTTGATTTTCCCAGGAGTATTCCCAATAAATGGGGAAAATGTAGGAAAAACGAGAAAATAGGTGCAATATTTTAAAAGAAAATATATTATAATGCATAGGTACGTAATTAATTCAATAATAATATTATTACATATATATATACTGTTGACAAAGCAACATTATCAACTGAACACCGCTCAGAATCATTTTTTTCGTTAACAATGGTTTATCGGTCCTTACCTAAATTAAATTACTTATAACGCTATAACAGAGACTGCAGCATCCCCGTTATCCTAGGACAGCTTTTTTTTTATTATTTGTTGTGTCTGTGAATGACTTTTCTATCAGAAATCTAACTCCAATCGAAAAACTACAAGAGAGATTTTTTTACAGAATTTTAATTTAATTAGTTGATTTAGCAGGTCGTTTTTTTTTTTTTTTTTATTATCCGTGCCGTTTTCATAAAAATAGGGAAAAATTCGAAAAAACATAATACAGGAAAACGAACAATTAATTTACGGCAAATTTGATTTATTCGATTTTGTTTTCTGCCAGAAATCTTGCGCCATAATTCAAATGTGTAGCATGAAAAAAAATATTATCCTGTTTGGTGCATACGAAGATTGTCTATTGATTTTCTGTGTAATTAACTTAATAAACACATAACAAAGTAAAAAATATTCGTTTTTGATGGTATAACATGTGTTATAACGTACCTCTAAATTATAGTCCACCGCGGAGAACATAATATTACCGTTTTAAGCATTGAACGAGAAAATTTTTCGTTAGAAAAAAATAATAATAATAATAATGTAATTTTAACAAAATACTCAAAACAGTCGACCGTATCGTTTGACAAACGGAACGGACCAAAACGAATCGGTTCGAGATAATTATACGTTACGCGATTGTTCGGCGTGTAATGCACACCATTACTATTTTTTAATATACCTATCATTATTATAGTAGGTGCTTTATAATAGTAATTTATGTGTATCCGTTGTCATTTCGAGAATATAATATTTTCACGTTGTTTTATTTGACATTCGTTCGTTTTCCAATAGCCCAAAAATTCCGGCTGTTTCCGAAATTTCGGAGTTCAGTATCGTTATACTAACTCCTGACGCGAACGAGGGCGATGCTCCGTCGGATGTGTAAAGTTTGCAAGCTTAGACTTCTACAGGGACGACGAGTCCCGATAGCCTGTCCTAAAATTGATACCCAAGGTCTGTGTGAAAACCAGTCTACCTACCTAAGGATCAATTTGATTGCGAAAACAACTAGAACATAAGATACACATATTCCAAGTCTTATTGACTATGAATTTTGAAGCATTTTTAAGAGTCCAAATAAATTTCGTCCACATAAAAACCAAAAATAGTAGACAATGTCCAATAGCTATATGATCTAAGTTTAATTATTTACTATTTGCCTCAGCTAGATAAAAGAGCAAATAATCACACGTTCGAAAAAATGTATTCGAACAGTAATTATTCGAAAGTTTGTCAATCCGAGAAGTTATACCTAAGTTTGAAAGGTCGTATGTTTAAAATTGTCACAACATGGAAATAACACGGATTGTGTGTTTTTTTTTTTTTTTTTAATTACGTTTATAAAACAAATTAGAAAAAGACGAAAACACTTCGCACGTGGGTGCAGCCACTTCTGTAGGTGGAAAATTAGTAAGGTAGAATATAGACGGGAATTTAATGTATATCTGTATAAGGAATGATAAACCATTGCTAACGAAAAAAACGATTGTGAGCGGAGTTCAGTTGATAGTGTTACTTTGTCAACAATGTAAATTGTATATGCCATAATACGGTAAAATAATTACATATGCACTAAGAATTTTCTTTAATAATATTTTTTTAATATTATATGTACCTATTTTACCGTTCTCTCGATTTTCTTATGTTTTTCTCGGGTTTGGTCTTTTATTGGGAAAACTCCTGAGGAAATCAAAAAATTATTTCCTGAAAGTACCACCCAAATTAGATTTCCTCCTAGAAAAAGTGCTACACTTGTAAATCGGAGCAATAGTTCTGGTAAAAAAGTTGTTCACAGATAAAAAAATATAATAAGAAACATTATTGTAAAAACTATAAGCTTCTTTGCTCCATTCAGAATCTAAAATCGTAAAATGTATATGTAAATAAATGTAAATTCTATCGAAAAAAAAATTAACATTTGACCTTATTTTTTTAATCTAAGAACATTCTTGAATTTTTGCTCTACAAAATATTCGATATCATTTTAAATTTCTTGAAACTGTCTCGTAAATTTGAAAAACTCGTAAACAAGTTATTTGCATACTAATATGTGCATTTTGTTTCGTGTTATTTTTATTTTTTGAACACACTTGTAGTTACTTATAATCTTTCAGAAAACGTGCTTTCGAACACTTGACGTTTGAACTTACGGCATTCAAACACACGATTTTCATGTAGGTGACTTCCTCCCGGGTGAAAGCAAGTAGGCACTTATACCAAAAAAAAAAAAATATATTAATAATAATAAAATATGTCGAAATAAATTTTTGAAATTCATAACCCTCACCTTCCGGCAATAAATCCCGATTGTGTCACCGGAACTCGTTCACTTTAAACTTATCTAAGCGAACGAAAATATAGAAATACGTCGTGGGTATAAAATATTATAATATAAAATAATGCGTGAATGTGCGCCACAGTGGGCCGATGCTTGGACTCCTTAGAGAAAAAAAAAACTCTGGAAATCCGGTCCAAGGATTAAAATAATATTATGTTAACGCGACCGGTAAAAGCGAAACGCATAATATAATAATTGACAAGTCGTCGATAAAAAAAAAAAAATAATAATAATAATAAAAAAACTACGCCTATACTACAGTAATAATATTATACATTATTGTGTGCGTTTCGATTTGTATTGTTGATTGTAGTGGGTAACATTAGACTTCGAACCGTCTGATCCGAGGGAAAAAAAAAAAAACGAAAAATCCTAAAAAATATACGAAAACGTGTATTGCATAAAAAAAGATATTGAATGCAACCAGCAACTGTAGAGATTCTAATCTATAATAAAAGATTAACGGACAACTCGTATTCATATCAGCGTTTCACGGACGCGCCGTGTTGCGACTACACCGTGCAGTGTTTCTCAACCTATGGGTCACGAAATATTTTTGATGGGTCGCGATGAAAGAAAAATATTTCGATTATAATATAATAAAATAGAAAAAAGTCAAAATAAAATCTTAGTAAGAACAGTATGACAATAAGAAAAATAAATTCAAAAATTTGTATTATTTTGTTGCGATTGCGGGAAATTTCGTGTCTTATCATTCAGTGCGCTAATCGCTAATAAGGTTTATGTCGTGTGCCGGGACTCCTATCAGTTTCATCGCGTGAATTTCTGATAGAGCATGTCTGCTTATCGCCTCACAGAATCGTTATAGTTCGTATAATGTCGTAAATTGAAGAAAATAAATAAAAATCATCGTAGATAATAGAAATAGCGTAATAGTGTTCAATAAAAAGATAACAAAAAAAAAAAAAAACAAATATTCGTCCTTTTGGCATTCGTACAGACTATTCCTAGGTTAGCTTAAAATAACTAACTTAAACGGCTGATAATGTGTATAGGCAAAAGTAAATCACTGTAAACAAAATACGATTCTTATATCGTGGAGCTGGCAGATAAATAATTGTTTTGCAACGTTAAAATCAAACGGTTTTTGTTTCTTTAGTTTTAAACTACAAAATTGATAATAAATATTCGTGAATTTTACGGACATTTTCAAAATATGATCTTTACACGCTTATAAAGAAATAAGATACGGACATACTTCGCATGATGGGTTAGCCACTGTTGTAGGTGAGAAGTTGAGAAGATAGACGAGAATATTTAATGTATATCTGTAAGCAACGATTAATCTTTGCTAGTGAAAAACAATTCTGAGCGGAGTTTGGTTACACATGTTTCGAAAGGCCGTAATATTTACTATTTAAAAATAATACGTTTCGTAATTTTATAATTATTTTGACCACCAAGTACAACTTATAATAAACCTCCGATTTTAAACAAGAATTACGAAAAAAAAAACCCCCGTAAAATTAAAATGTCTATTAAGTTAATCCCACTGATCATATTTTCAGATTAGAGTCGAACAAGATTTGGTTTGCTTATGTGACCATACCTTTTATGCCATGAACTCGTAGTTTCCGTTGTTGCTAGGTTGGCTTCTGATTGTTCCTTTTCTGACATTATTATATCATATCGCTTGTCTTTCCTTATTCGTTCTACGAACAAATCGGTAGTTTTATAAATTTGCGCCTTCTGTTCGCAAAATTTAACTGTTAGTCCATTCTTTTCTAAACGTTTTACTGACATTAGTTTGTGTGTGACGTCTGGAGCACATGGTACATTTGACATTGTGATGCGATTGTAACAGCACTATTTTCTTTACGTGTATGGCTGAGATTGATGCACCTTCCCTAACCGTTGCTATCATGATTGGCTTCTCTACGAGTCATTTAACTGGACGGGTTCATATAGAATGTAGTGGCGACGGTAATAACGACCTGCGCCGGTCCCGGAAATTGGTCCCGCAGTAAACAGCTTCAAATGGACAGCCTTGGCGCTTAACCACACAAACACGGTGACAGTTTTGTACGTCTGTGCCTTTCATGACCGGTGTTCTCGCATCGTGACGGGAAGGACGTAGTCAGTTCCAAAGCGAAAAGCCTGCGCTACTGGATGACAGGCAGCCATAAGGCACCTAACCTAACCGACCTTTGGCGTCCGTGACATTCGCTTATGGTCGAACAAGGAAAGATTTTGTAAACCATGTTATGCAAGTACACAAACCGGACTACCGTTTAATACAAGGAAGATGTATTCAATATTGAACATATCAGAATTTTCGGTTCAGATGCATTTGTTCATATTCCAACGAAAATGAACAAAACTCGAAAAGGGAAAACGGTTTAACATACACAAACGGTTCGGGACTCATTGCACTTGAAAACGTCAAAAAAAGCCTTGAAAAACAGTATTTCAAGTGAATATTATTAAATTGAACGGCAGAACGGTTTAAATGCCCTCAGCCCCTCTGACGGTTTTTCGAGTGCAAAGTCAAGTCCCGAACCCTATTAACGACTATACTAAATATCAGGTACGCGCGACACCGCCATAATAAAAACGAAACAATATCTGCTATTTGCCGGTAAAAAAAAAAAAAAAAAACTAAGCGAGAATAAATCCCCCCCCCTTTTCCGCGAGAACGCCCATACATTAAAATATCATAATAATTATTGTTGTTTTGAAACTTTAAACCCTTCCGCGACCCGAGCCGGCCGCGCGGGCATAGATCATTTTCGTGCGGACATTATAATTAATAATGTTACTATACGCGCGCGATAATCCGCCGTACACGCGAAAAATAATCGCATAAATTATCGCCAATCGATAATATTCTAATGCGCATTCCCCGCCGCCGCCGAGCGTGTTATAATACTGCGGCCGGTGTCATAACAACGAGTGGTTCCAACGGGCGTAAATCATCGTAGAAATATTATTATCTTCGTGTAACGATACCTGCCTACGATATTATTATGTTAATAATCAGAGTCGGACGTTATTTAAATAAAATTGCATTCGGATGATTATATTCAAACAAAACGGTATTCAAATAAATCATTATTCGAATGAATTTTCCATAATTGTTCGAATGATTTCAAAACTGATCAGTCGAATAATTATCCAGATAGAATTTCGCCCGACTCTGTTAATAATGTGCATTTTCGGTCCGCCGGTGTTAATAATTCGCCGTTGAAATCCTCTCGCGTTATAGCATCGATTTCAGATCGCGTTCAGATCACGCCCGCATCATTAGGCGACGATACGCGTGTTGTACAACGCGCAATGTTCTTTTCAAATACTCTAGGGAGGCCATTCTTCGATTTTCTCAAGAGTTTTCTCATCAAATGCGAAATATCGAAAAAAAAATACGGGAAAATATAAGATAAAATATAATATATATATGGGTATTAGTTAAAATATATTACGGCCTTCTTTTTATTATTAAAGAAAATATATCAAGTCTAGTTAATTATTTTACTATAAAATGGCATATATATCGTTGACAGAGCATCACTATCAACTGAAAACCGATCAGAATAGTTTTTTCGTAAGCAATGGTTTATCGTTGCTTACGGGTATACATTAAATTATCTATAACTGTAGCTGCACCACCCGTCTCCATTATTCTAGAATGAACTTGTGGAGTGAAAAAAAAAGTTGATTATAATGTAGTTTTTTATTTTAATAAAAGCCTAAACATCGAATTTTGACGAGAATCGTAAGTATTAAGAAGGCTTTTTAAAACTTGTTTAACCGAACTTTGCTCCAAATCGTTTTTCGTCAGCATTGGTTTGTCGTGCTTATAGGTTTAAATTAATTAGCATTATGTATCCTTATTTCTCAACTTCTCACCTAAAACGGATATTTTTGAAAAGTATTATCCAAATGACTAGCAAAAACCTTTTTGATTCAGCAAGTAACGAGCAACGCATCGGTTTCATTATGATATATGTGCAGTTATAAGGTTTCCGTTATTTTTGTGATTTCGGTTTTCTTTTTTTAATCCAGTTGTAAATAATCGTAGAAACGCGAAATTTTCACAGAACACTAAAACGTAGTTAAATATTCAAAAACTCGACATGTTTTTTCTAGTTATTTTTGTCTATTTGAAATTGTTAGGTTTTTTAGATTTCTATTTGGTTTTATATGTTTTACAAGTACAATTATTTTGGCCCGGCGAAAAATCTCGAAATACATCATAAACTACACTTCTCGCGGAAAAAAATAAAAATATTAGGCATGACGTGGGAATTGTTTTTTTTTTTCATGAGCGTTTATAATAAAGTTCAAATTTCGACAGAAAACGTAAAAATAAAACGTGTTCCGATGAACTTCAATCAAAATCCGGTTTGTTTTATTTTATAAATACGGTAAACATATAATATAGATTTATTATACCTACCGGTACAAGAAAACAATTTTGAATCCGTTTAAACTTCTAATACGATGAGCTGAAATTATCGAAACATGGAAAACAACATTTTATTAATTATAAAAGTATTCATAACACGTAGGCAATATCGAATACCGGAAAAGTAGCTATTCGAATTTATTTGTATTTAAATATTTTTACAAGAATATAATTTGTAAATCTGATTTATAGGTGTATTGAATCTTTGGTCCCCGGGATGAACATTGTATTGTTTTCAATACAAGCAAATTCAATGAACACACAATGCGACCACGTAACGGTGGCGAAGCTACCGCTAGAATCGACCGAGACAGTCACCACCTTTGGGCGTACAATTTTTTCCGAGACTTACACGCAGGGGTGTACTCAGACCTTGGCTATGAGAGGTGGGGGCGGAAAAATAATCAAATTTAATATTAATGACTGATAAGAAAAAAAATGTATGTCAAATAATATATTGGTTATAGCTACTTTTGGACCGATGGCTACGCCAAATGCCAATATGAGTCCACTTCTCTCGGGGCGGTGGACAATCGCCCGCATTACACCCAATAAGGACGCCCCTGCTTGTGCGTATAGCAGGGATGCTGGTGATTGTCGTGTATTCGGTAGACGAATTACGGACAGACCGATTAGGCGGATCATATTATGACCAAAGTCCATAGTCCAGCTTTGATGAAAATATACAAGGCATATTTCAATCAATAACCAAATAAAACAATTCCTGTAGAAATTATTTTTCAAATTTTCATAGAAATATGTGTTTGATATGTATAAAAACTACAAATATATACCTATGAATAGCGTAAATATGAATTTACATAATTTGAAATTGTCGACGGTATTTCGTTGAAAGGGCGTCTATAAAATTCCACTTCTTTTCAGAAAGTAAAAAAAAAAACGGTTTTTTCTAAAAAAAACAGCAAAACCGTTGTTAATGAACAATAAAATTGCACTTTGTAATCGACCTTGTGCACAAAGTACACACGCATCGAATGTGGTATACGCCCATTTTGCAAATCAGAGTTGATTTAATTATAGTTTAAACGGCCGTCTGGATATCTTTTAGTCGGCCTTAACAACTTAACCGTCTGCGCTTTAACGCGCCCCGTTACCAGTTTACGGTCCTAACTTTGCTGATTTTCTGACACCGAAAGCGTATTTTTCGATATCCAATGGTATACGTCCTTTTGACAGAACGCCGCCGATGTGATTGGACACGATTCGGTTCGACCTTTCCAATAATACATAATTGCAATCGCATCGCTGTTTCGGTGACACGGAGTATTATTCAGATTTCCCATTAGGTATACCCATATAGTGTAGGACGTACATACACAAATTCGAAAACGCGCAATCTCCGGCAATTTAGACCACGAAAAAAAAAATAAAATAAAAACAATATTACAACATTACGAGCGGACAAAATTATATAAACTGAAAAAACGAATGCCGAAAACCGTCTGAAACCCCGTCCGGCGGTATCCAACGAATATTGAAAACTCGCTTCAAACGGACAGTTTCCGTGACGCGATTTTCGCATATTATTATTATTATTATTATTATTAGGTATTATCTCATTGTACACGTGGGGGCATACGTTTCGGAGAGAGGCCATCGGTTGACAAAGAATTTCTATTGTTTTTTTTTTTTTTTTCTTTTTACTCGCTGGCGCGTGCGCGCTTGTGTGCGCGTAATACTGTGTGTGTGTGTGTGTGTGTTAATTTTTTTTTTTTTCGAGCGATGTATTGTTACGGAGGACGCACGGAATTCTAATGGGTCCCGAAACAAACGCCGTTTCCGAAAATAAAAAACCGATCGCGATTCAAATTTCCGTCCGTTAAACTTCGTTCGTCACAACTTATTACAATATAATATAATATAATATGTATACACGTGTATACGGATACGGGGGAACATTACGTTTTCGTTTTTAATTGTGTTCCGGAACGTTGTAAATATTATGCGTGTACGTATATAGGTGCACATTGTATGCAAAACAATAACAATAATAATAATAACAATAATAATAATAGCGCTGTAATTTATGCGAAAATCGAAAAATAATTATTGCCGGAGAGCGGCCGCGGCACCGCGATAAATTACAATGCGCGCCCGCCAATAACGCGGGCGCGTCGTATCGAAAGTTTTTCGGACGGCCCACGACGCGCCACGGCTGTAACGGCGACGGCGACGGGAATTCCGCCGTCATCCGCGGCGCGCGCCGTCGGAAAGAAGGGGGAAAAAAAAAATTCAACCGTACGCGGAGTCGCGCGCCGTCTAAACGACATAAGTGGCGGCGACGACAATCGGCTCGTGTTTATTCCGGCGCGCGTAGGCGAGAACTCCTGGCCCCGCCGGAGCGAGGCCGTCCCGCCGG